GGTTGCACCACGGACAAGTCCTGCTTGATCAACTAAATGGCCTTTCTGTGATGAAGTGATTTCATCAGCAGACAAGGGTGACAGATGTCATTTATCTGGACTTCTGTAAAGCTTTTAACACATTCCTTTAAAACATCTGTCTCTTCTAAGCTGGAGAGAAGATTTTATGAGTGAACTATCTGGTGAATAAGGAACTGCCTGGATGGCTGCCTTTAGAGAATAGTGTTCAACAGCTCAGTTGAACAATCTCAGTCTCTGTATGGAGACCTGTGATGAGTGGTCTCTCTCAGGGGTCTGTATTGGTATCAGTATTATTTGATGTCTTCATCACTGACATAGACAGTGGGATCGAATGCACCCTCAAATTTGGAGACTGACACCAAGAGTCAAGGGGTGTGTGTTAACCATCCTATGGATGGGATTGGGATGCCATCCATGGGGACCCATATAAACTGAAGGAGTGAAACCCTAGGTTCACTCCTCATGTTGAATGTGTCATAAAGTTCAACAAGGCCAAGTACAAGGTCCTGCCCCTGGGTCAGAGTAACCCTCAGTATCAATACAGGCCAGGGGATGAAAGGATTAAGAGCAGTCCTGCCAAGAAGGACTTGGCTGTACTAGTGAATGGAAAACTGGAGATCAGCCAGCGGTGTTTTCTTGCCATCCAGAAAGCCAAACATATCCTGGGCTGTTTCAAAAGAAATGTGGCCAGTAGGCACGGGAGGTTCTTCTGCCCCTCTACTCCACTCTGGTGAGACCCCACCTCTAGTACTGCATCCAGCTCTGGGGTCCTCAGGGCAAGACAAATATGGTCCTTTTGGTGGACCCAGAGGAGGGCCACAACAATGATCAGAGGGCTGAATCACATCTCCTGTGAAGAAAGGCTGAGAGAGGTGAAGTAGATCAGGCTGGAAAACAAGGCTCCAGGGAGACTTTATTTTAGACTTCCAATGCTTAATGAGGGCCTAAAGAAAGATAAGGACAAACTTTTTAGTAGGGTCTGTAATGATAGGAAAAAGGGTAATATTTTTAAGCTGAAAGAGGGTAGATTCAGACCAGATACAGGAAGAAATTTTTTTTACAGGAATACTGGTGACACACTGAAACAGGTTATCAGGAGAGCTGGTGGATGCCTCATGCCTGGAATAATTCAAGGTCAGGTTGGGCAGGGCTCTGAGCAGCCTAACATGGAAGAACTTGTCCCTTCTTATTGCAGGGATTTGGACTAGATGACCTTTAAAATTCCTTCCCAACCCAAATCACACTCTGTAACTTAAGAGAAAAAAACAAAAAACAAAAAACAAAAAAAGCACCAAAAAATGTAACTAAACTCAATTTGGGCCTTTCAGTATATATTCTACTAAAGCCAAAAGAGAATATTCCCTTCATTATTTACACAGGGAGCAGCACTGTTTAAATTCCCTTCACTTCAAAAGTATGGATTCAGTTGTAAGGGGATGATAGGCATAAAGAGTTTTAATTTTCCTTGTGAGGTGTTTTTCTAGAGTCATTTTCCTGTGCAGGTTGGACAGGGTTCAAAATTAATGCCAGCTGATAGTCCACAAGCACTGTCATTTTCTCTTATCTACAGAGACCTGATATCACTAAATAAACAGAGGGCTTTTAATCAAAAGGAATATAATAATAAAGGAAATATTGCTGTATTGTTTAAAATATTGTTTAAAATATTTTATCCTTTACAGGCATTCAGTGAGCAAAAAATCACTGAAAACTGTACAAATAATCACAGCTTCTCTGGTTACTTCTCCATTTTCACTTTCCTCCTTCACGCTTTCTAGTGTGATCCTGTCTCACAATGGAAGCTTTTCTATGTTGATTTATCATCTTTCCCCATTCCCCAAAAAGAATGACTTTCTGTCATTCTCTTTAACCTACGAACACCAAATTGGTATTTAAACATTGTCCAAATCTGAAACTCACTAAATACTTTTCTGATATGCCATCTGATTTATCTAAGAATACAGATTATCAATCCTTATGCAGGAATACATGCATGCATTTTCCAGCATAAGCAGCATAAAACAAAGGCACATGAAAAAACTAAACCAGATGAATAAACAAAATTGAGACCCATGATACGACGTTCTCTGAAAGATTTGAGGAAGGTGGATCAAAACAAAGGTGCTATTAACAATGACTGTAATTTAATTTACTGGTCATCGAAAGCTCAAGTTCTATGTTACCCTCTCCACTATTTCTCTGGACTGCAAAGCCCTGGCTCACTTCCACACACATGGAAGAGTTTCAGAGGCGTTTTGGATTCAGCCTATAGTTCAAATTGAACTTTTATGAGTGGGTATATCCAGAGCTTTACAAAGCAGTAACATAAGAAGTGACTCATAAACAGGTATTAACATGTTTCTTTCAATGCAAAACTGGTTCAGTCACATATCATGCAGAACTTCTATAATGCCCTAGTTAATTTCTCCTTGGAAACTGGCTTGGTACAGGAAATATTTGCTCATTTCTGTTGATTAGTAGTCACAGCAGAAGTACAGTAAAACTAAGATTATTTCTGCTTTGCAGTGTTTTGCTGTTTCTTTTCTAGATGTTTTAAATAAATGGCAACCATTTAGAGCTGAAAAAGTTCTGAAAGTAATTATTACAATTATTACAGTTACTGTCACACATTGTTTGTCCAACTTCAAATTCAGGGTCCATACTCAAGACTCAACTGGTAATTAACCAAACACATAAAGCAAAGCATGATTATCATCACAAACGGTTTACAACCTGAAGAGTAAAATGTATAGAAGCCCTGAGTGATATGTAGTGTACCATCCTGGTAATCCCAAAATGACTGCTTATCTGCAGATACCAACAAGTGTGGTTATGTAATGGGGGACAGACAAAGAGAATTGAAGACACTTTAAGAGGACTAATTGACTCCATCACATATTGCAAAATATAGAGTTCTCACATCCTATTTCTCTTCTATTGAGAATTGCTTATATATAAGTTTATTTCAAACAACTTTGTTACTTTAAGCAAAATCATCTATGAGCAGTCGGAACAAGTCACATACTATGCGTTCTTCTAGTCTACATGTCTTACTCCTTAAATTCCAGCAACTTGGCAATACTACGATATAATGAGCAACATTTCTATGACCAGATCTTTTATTTAACAGGAGCTGCTGAGCCAACACTACCTTTCCTTTCTGCTGCAGCCACCGCTTTAAGTAATGTTAAGAAGACCAGGTGAAAACTGGAAGACTGTGCAACTACATGTGACACTTAAACCTCTCCTTGCTGGGCAGAAAACAGCCTGGACTGTCGTACTCCACAGCAGCCCAAGCCTTTCTGTCCAGATGTGACCACCTCTGGGGTCCCCAACACAAGAATAACCTTGATCTGCTGTAACAAGTCCAGAACAGGGCCACCAGGTCAATGCCAGGGCTGGAGCACCTGCCTCAGACTGAGCGAGTTGGGGCTGTTCAGCCTGGAGAAGAGAAAGCTCCAGGCAGACCTTACAGCACCCTCCTAAGGGGCCTTACAAGAAGGCTGGAGGGGCTTCTCACAAGGTTAGTGCCTTTAAGCCGCAAGAAGGCAGGTTTATCCCAGACGTAAGCAAGAAACTCTTTACTCTGAGGCACTGGCACAGGCTGCTTGGAGAAGCTGCGGCTGCTCCAGCCCTGGCAGCGTTCAGGAGCAGGCCGGCGGCAGCAC